TCGGGGCGTGATGGAGAGGCACGAAGACGGACGGGCACCTGTCCATCCTCGACGCTGGGCAGTGTCCACCACGGGGCCCCGCCCCAGCGCCCCGCCCCAGCGCCCAGACACGTCTCCCAGGTGCAGAAGGGCCCGGGTACAGGTGTCACCAGTGAATCGCTATGGGAGAGAGTGGGGGGCCCCGGGGGACACTCGGCTCCACGAGGAAGGGGGCCCTAGGCAGACGGGGCAGTGCCCACCAGGAGGCACTGCTGTCAACCTCGCTGAGGCTAGACAGGCCTGCACCAGAGCCGCCGGCGGGGGACGAGCCAGACGGACACTCCTGTGCCAAACTTTATTTATAAAATGCCTCCCTTTGACCCCCCACCCTGACCCCAGAATCCCTCTCCCCCCAACAAACACGACCATTTTTAGGGGTGTGGGGTCCGTCCGCATTTTTTAAAACGGATCATCACCTCGCGGGTACCCATTCCCAATCGTCGGTTATGAACCAGCGCACGAGCACGGCACGCGGCTGTGGCTCCTCAGGCCTGTCGGTGGTGACGTGGGCACGTCCCACACGGAGCCTCCTGACCCGCCTGTCACCCGGCCCTCCCTCCCTCCTGCTGCCGCTCCTTTGTTCATTTCCCTTATTATTTGGGCTTTTCTTCCAAAATGATGTCCCCTGCAGCATGCTGGCAAACATTTGTTACATTCTGACACGCAAATCACAGTCCGGTTGAATTTAAAAAGGTACATTTCGAGTCCTCTTCCTCCGAGGTGTAAAATGCCATTTCGCTGTCTTCTGTTTGGTGTCCCGCTGGAGAAATCTGAAGGGGACTGAGTTTTATTCCGCTGGTGTCGGATCTGCACCCTCTGGACGATTTCAGAATCCTCTGAACTTCTCGCGCTCTCCAGTGTCTGGGGGTCCGTGCTCCCCGCTCCTCTCTGGCTCCTCACGGCTCCCCCTCTCTCCTTAGTCTAGACACGCACTGTCATCATTTCTCCAAAATTCCCCCGACGCCCTGCGGCCCTGGCCCGCCCCTCGGGAGAGCCCCGCCCCTCGGGAGAGCCCCGCCCCTCGGCCTTCCCAGCCTCCAGCTCGCGCCCCCACCCCGCTCGCCATGTCCGCGAACTCTTCCTTTGGCTTTTCATCTCCCTGTTAACTTTTACTTGATTAACTTTCACATCCCAGCTCCGTGTTCATTGCATTTTTACGCCACCTCTGCTTCTAAGCGGCATCTGGTTTCATGCCACTGTTGCTGTCCTTGTCCCCGAGTGCACTGGCCGTGCCGCCTTGGACCTGGGTGAGGCCCACTGCCGGGCAGGCTTCGCGGAGCGTCCGGGCCCCAGACACGGTCACCCTAGCTGCGAGCTCAGGCCTGCTCGGGAGGTCAGCTCGACGTGGGACCTGTCTGGAGAGGGCCCAGGGCCACACCCCTTTGTGTCTGCTACTCATTGAATTTAGGGGGGCAGTGAGCCCCAGACCCCAAAGAACACTGCCACCCCCACTCGTGGATGGTCCACCAGACAACCTTTCACCTTTAAGCCCGCCGCACTGACAGGGGCAGCCTCCCTAACTGGTCCCGGAGGGCTGGTGGGGAGGTGCAGCGGAGCGGAGGGCCGCGGGCAGCCGGTGGCCGGCATCCATCGTCCCTGGGGGTGTGGCTGACCCAAGCGCCCCCTCCTCGTTGGGGGCACTGTAACCCAAACCTAGACAGATCTAGGGCCAACCTGGCTCCTCCGTCCCCCTCCTGTGAGCACGAGGCACTCCCCCCCCTGGAGAGGCCTGTACCTTGAAGGGGGTGACATAGGTGCCCTCAGGGGTGACGTCTCCGTGCCGGTTCAGGAGATCCTGGCGAGGAATTCTGACCTGGTGGAACATGGCGAACCTGTGGGGTGCGCGAGGCCTCGAGTTAAACTGGGCGCCGGCCCCGGCTCATCCCCAGGCTCGTCCCCTCCCCCTGGAGCCCAGGCAGATGAAAGGTCAGCCTGAAAGCTGGCAGAATCCCCAAGACGAAGAGAAAGAGCATGAAGACACCAGTGGACAGGGAATTCCAACAAATTTCTCTATCCAGAAAAGGAGGTTAAGAAAAGTGGGTGCGTTGTGGGGTTCCTTGCGGAACAAAACAGCCACCCACGTCCGTCATTTCGGAGGCTGAGCCCTCACGCCCCTGGGGCTTGGGTCTCAGGGCTCCCCAGAGAGCTCCTGAGACAAAGCCTGCACAGCAGTGGGGAGCTCAGCCCCTGTGGAAAGACAGCACTGGGTGTCACACTTCAGTCCTGCACCAGCAGCCACCACACGGGCGACGAAGTCAGCAAGCGGGAGTTTCGAAACTGCCACGTCAAACGGGAGAACACGCAGCTGCATGGGGCCCCGAAGGCCAGCGGGCGGCTGCTCGCAAATGGGGAGGGGAGCGGGCTGGACACGCTTCGCCACGGGTCAGAAACCGGGCACGTTTGGGGCTGTCCAGGGACAAGGTTACGCAAAGTAACGGACGTTACAGAAACCGCTCGGCAAACCAAACCATCTTACGAATCGATAGTGCCGACAGGTGTTTATCTAATAGTAAGAACCTGTCTCGTGTCACAGACTGTCCTTGTACTAAACCCCAGAACACAGCTCTGTAAAGAGCAGCTCAGCGCCTCCCTCCGCACCTGCTCCTCCTCTGACCCCCGCTGTGGGCGCTGACCCCTGACCCGGTCACCTTCCTCACCTCCACCCCGACTGAAGCCCAGGCTGGCAACGGTGCTAGGGGGCCTCCCCCGCTGCCCTCCGTCCCTGTCTGCATTCAGACTGCCCCGTGTCCGACTCACTACAACAGTGTCTCCTGGCCCCTCCCAGACCTCACCCCCGCCAGCCTGTCCCATGCCCGAGCAAGGCCTTCCCACTGCCCACGGGAAGGGCCCCGCCCTGCATGAAGTCTGTCCTGCCACCTGGGACTCTAAACCCCGCAACAAACGTGGACTGCTCACTGCTCCAACGGCCCCAGCTCCTCGCGGCCTGTGGAAGGGTGGTCTGTGTGTGGCCCTGCTCTCCTGACGCCACCTCCGCCAGGAGGCCCACCCGCCCATTCTCCACCAGCCTGCGGTGGGGACTGGTGACCCCAGAGCACCACCAGGGGTGGCCCCATTCTGCAGCAACACCCAGCGCCTATGCTCCTTGCTCAGCGGCCTGGTCCTCGCTGGCAGCTTCCGGGCCCTTAACCCTCCTATTGTAATGGGGCAACCAGTGCCGTGGAGTGAATCAACGGCGGCTGAGACTTCACGCTCTGGGCGCTGGCGTCGGCGCCACAAAACCCCAGTCCAGGACGGCCTTGGGGGAAGATGAGCGGCACCTTCCAGCAGAGGCCGGGCTGGCCGGGCACAGGGCGGGCCCAGATCTGCGGCAGGGGACTCTCCCTGGGCTGCCAGGCCGGGGTCCAGGCGGGCGGCCAACCTCTGCAGGTCGCCCTGCCGAGCATGAAGGAGAATCAGCCGCACGCCAGCTCCTCAGCAGGCCCCAGCCCCGCATCGTGGCACTGTCCAGGGGTGGACGCCAGTCAGGGCCTGGGTGGGGTGGCTCTGACTGACTGCGGGGCCTGGGAAGGCCCAGCAGCGTGTGGGTCCAGACACCCCAGTTTCTAAGAACAGCCAGACTCGGTGCTGACACCCCCGCGTGCTCCAGCTGCTTACCTGAAAGCAGAGAGATGCTTCTGCACGCGCGAATCCGCCCTCAAAGTGCCCTTTTTAGGGGTGGAAAATCGTTACTTGCTGCTCGGAGATGGGACAAGTCTGAACATATTTACGCCTGCGAAAGGATTCGCCTGAGTTCACTGAAAGCGAAGTCCCACGCACTCTCCTGCGGCACCTGAGGACGGTGTCGGACGGGCACTGCTTATCGGGGGTCGCTCCGTAAGGTGCACAAGTGCCCAGTCACCGTGTCGCACACAGGAGCCTAACACAGAACTGCACGTCGACCGTCACTGAAAAGTTAATTACTCTGGAGAAACGGTTTCACGTTCTCTTCTGAGCTCCAGTATAGCTCAGCAGCTGTTCTAGAAACGGTCAGCGGGTGGCCGGACTGCGGGGCCAGCCTGCCAGCCAGAATTCCTAGTGTCCCCAGAGGGCACAGGGGTGTGTGTGTGTGTGTGACATGGTGGTGTGTGACACGTAGTGTGACATGTGGTGTGTGTGACATGGGGAGGGTGTGACAAGAAAGGGTGTGACACGCAGTGTGTGTGACACGCGGTGTGTGTGACATGGGCCAGGTACAGGTGGCAGGCCCTGCTCCCAGGTGTTGTACGTGTCCTTCTGCCCTGGGCTTTCTCCCAGGGTCCAGGAACCTCCTTCCCCTTGAGGCCGCCCACCACCACCCCAGCCCGCCTGGGAACAAGTCCACCGAGTGCCTGGCGGGACCCCTCCTGGACACGTGCCGGATGGATCTCCAAGGCCCGTGGGCCCCACCTCACCTCAGAGCAAACACGAGAGAATGTCCACAGCCCACTCCTAAATTCAGAGGCCAAAATCTCACTTGAGAGGGTCTTTATTATTTTCCTTTAGAGTTATTTGGCTAAAGTCAACCCACGCAATTTGTATTTGCCTCTGATTACTAGACAGTCATCCCACACACTCAGAAATTCTTGTGCAATGACTAAATCTAACCTATATTTTCCAGGTAAATGACCTCAGAAAAAAAATCACTTAATTATAAGACATTCGAAGTAGACAGAAGACAGCACGCAGGACCTCCGTGCCCTCAGCCCACGCGCCCTCTGCTGGCCACGCACTCCCCTGGCCTGGGGCGGCGGGCAGGGAGCAGGTCCTGCCGGACACCCAGCACCAGCCTGTGAGCCCGGGGCCCCTGGACACGTCCGAGCATCTCCCTGGCAGCAGGGCCGCTCCGGAACGCCTCTACAAGGAGGTCACCAGCCTGCCCCACGGCGATGCTGGAGGCGACTGGCGATGCTGGAGCCCGTGCCACACTGGCGTGGCCCACCCCGGGGCGCCGTCTCGGTCAGACCACTGCGGGCCTCTCAGCCCCAACCCCGGAGTCCACACCACGCTGCCCCTCCTCCCCAGAGTCGGAGTGGACACGTGCCGGACGCCCAGCTCCAGGAGGCTGCTGATGGGGACCTCGCCTGGGGGAGGCAGGCCCCGTCACAGCCCGGTGCTGTTGAAGCCCCAGGCTGCCGCAGGCCTGATGCCCGGGCTGGGAGCGGCCGCCTGCCTGGGGACAAATTCACCCGCTCGGCACTTGGGCTGTTCACACCTCCTGACGTCAGGGGCCCTTCGCGACCGGGCTCTCAAGTGTGGGGCTGAGGCCCACATCCCTGACGCGGTTTACCTGACTCGCAGGAGGCAGGAGGGCACGGGACAGCGCCGAGGGGCCCTGCGAGATCGCAGGTGTGAACAGGAATCCGAGCTCTGACCAGCGGCCCCGAGGACCGACCCCACCAGGAGTGCACCGTGACCTGGAGGCTCAGCTGTGCGCTTACCCATTGTCCAAGCCATTCTGCCCGAGCTTCTTCCCCATGTCGCCCACCATCACCCCTGGCACGGGAAGAAGGGTCTTCGGGTCCCGAATCTGCACAAACCACAGAAAGCAACAAACAGCAACTCAAAATGACTTTGTTCAAACCCCCGGGGACCGAGCCACGGGCTTCCTCCATGTCGCTGCAGGGAATAAATGTGTCCTCCAAAAACGTGGCCTCACTGGAGACGGGCTCTTTGTGAATGCGGCTAGGGAAGGGTCTCGACACGAGATCATCCTGGATTCCCTAGGGGGCCCCTAATGTAATGACAAGTGTCCTAGAAGAGACAGGCCTGGACGTGGAGCGAGGAGAGGCCACGTGGACACGGAGGCAGAGACTGGCGGATGCAGCCGCAGCCCAGGGGCTCTGGCAGGACCCTGAGGCTGCACGAGGCGGGAGGGGCCCTGTCTCCACCCGGGCGTGGGCTCCTGGCCGCCAGACTAGGAAGGAATAACGCCTGGTGTTTTAAGGCCTTAGTCTGTAGTATTTTGTTTTACAGCAGCTACAGGAAAACCAGCCCAGGAGCTGGTGAGCACACGCGTCTGGAGGATGTCGGTGACCACGTGCGTGTGCTTCAGGTGGAGGACTTCCTGACTTTAATACAGCGACGAAATGGCTGTGCACGCACTGCTGTGGGAGAAACAGCTTAAGATTATCTTTGTAAATCCCTGCTCCCCCAACTGAGTTTCCAATAGACTTGCCAGAAAGAGTACAGAGACAGCTAGCGGATAGCTCCTGACTCTGTGCTCAGGATGTGGGATTTCATTCTAGAAAACCTTTAAGGTAGCGATTCGCATCCAGGCGTGATTCTGCCACCGTGCCCTCCACTCCAGGGAACATCTGTCAATGTCTGAGACATTCTGATTGTCATAACTGGGGGGGGTCCTACAGGCAGAGGCCAGGGGTGCTGCTACACACCCACAGGACAGTCCGCAGCAGGAGAAGTATCCAGCCCAACTGTCACAGCTGAGAAATTCTGCCTCAAAGAAATACTGAATTTGCACTGTTTGGAATTTAGCTGTTTGTATAATTTGCTAGTTTTTGTTATTTCACTGGAAGAATCATCAAACTGAATTGAACTTTATATGTATTTTTAAAAAAAAATTTTTTTTAACACCTACAACATCTGGTCTTCCTAGGTGGTCTCCCATCCAAGTACTAACCAGGCTCGGCCCTGCTTAGCTTCCAAGATCAGACGAAGTCGGGCACATTCAGGGTGGCGTGGCCGTAGACTGAACTTTATAATGATGAAGCCCAACTGTAAACCATCTTTCCTTTTTTCTGAAGTCTTTAAGGCTCAGCAAAGATTCAGATATTTGAAATAAAAAATATAGTTAGGGAAAAAAGTAGACATGGAGAGAAGAGACAGTTAAAATGTTGGTGCTTTTCAAGTGATCAAACAGAAAGGTACTGCGCTAAGGCAAGTTTTCAGTTCATCTAGAAATAAATGATAACTTAGTCACTGCAAATATCACTTTAACCTCTCAGAAAGGACTCAGATTAAAGTCACAGGCAGAATTAATGTCGTAGTTATCTGAAAAATATTTAGTTGTGCCCATTTACATATAACGTTTCCCACAACGTGAGGAGACTGCCAACCTGATGTGACACAACACATCAAAAAGGAAAAAATACCCCTGCACTGGACCAGCTAACGCTCTGGGGCACGTCGCGATGCTCACTGAATAGCTTTGGGACCACGAGCCTCAATCTCTTCTCAGCAGACAGTCAACTCCACAAGGACAGGGAACCGCGCTGTCCTGAGCCCCTGCCTGATACACGCTGGGGACACGGAAACCGTCTGCTGGGGGGAGGGATGACAAGACACTCTGAGAATTTAGACCACAACTTTTAAAGAGGTTTAGACACTGTAGCTCTATAGTCTGAGAACCAGAAACATTGAAAGAAGCTGAATTCCAGTCCGATTTCTGTGAGAAGTTCCTTTCTGGTACCAAGCTGTCCTCACGGAAGTGATGAACGGTGCTGAGAAATGTACCTGGTCTGCAGGAGTTCACATGTGCATCGAAAATAATGACGGAGCCACAAAGACAAATGGATCGATCGGACTTCATTGAAATAAAACCTTTGTGCGTCAAAGGACGCCATCAGAAAATGGACAGACAACTACGGAGTGGGAGGAAACATTCGTGAACCATCTACCCGATAAGGGTTTAGTGTTCAGAATACCCGGAGAGCTCGACACTAAAAACGCACATGAGCCGAATAGAAATGGTCTGAGACACTGAACGTGCGAAGGGACAAGGCGGCCCTCCCGTGAGGAGAGCTCCCCCCGCAGCCCGCGGCCCCGCCCAGGAAGCTGCGTGAGTCGGACATGCAAGAGGTCAGCCTGCTGCCCCATGACATCCCAGGAAGCTGAACGACAACTTCTGGGACAGTCGGCCAGGACTGGATCCATAATTGACAGCTTCTCGAACTTCCGTCCCCACTTCCCGCTCAGGACCAACTTAGAGAGCCTCACCTGCTCCCCGGACCAGTCACCCGGACGCCCCCTTCCAGTAGCCGCCCAGCCTCCTGCAGCCCCCAGCCCCCTGTCATGGCACCCCTGAGCCCCCTTTTCTCCACGAGGAAGCTCCCCAACCCCTCAGCCTGCTTTGGGGTCTCCGGCAAAAGCAAGTGATGGTGGCCGACCCCCCACTACAGCTGGTGCTGAGCAAACAGCCTTCGCCTTCTCCCGCGTGTGTGTGTGGCGGGGGGTCGGGGGAGGTCTTTGTTTTTTCCCACAGGGCAAAGGATTCGAACAGACATTTCTCCAAAGAAGACGTTCGAACGGCCAACTGACACACGAGAAGTTGTTCAATATTCCTGGTCACTAAGAAAATACAAACCAAAACCACAAGATACCACCTCGTGCCCCTTGGGGTGTTTAAGAAGAGAAAGGCAGCGGCCTTGGTGAGGATTTGAGGAAACCGGAACCTTCCGATGAGATCGCAGGGGGATGGAGACCGCGGCGAAGTCTGGAAGCGCCTCAGGACGCTGAGCGCAGCGTCACCGAACACCCCAAGGAACCGAGATGGGCACGCGACACACGCACGTGCATAGCGACCTCACTCGCAACCGCCAGACGGCGAAAATAACCCAAATGTCCATCAGTCGACAAATGGGTACACAGATTGTGGCCCATCCAGAAAATGGATGGTTCAGCCCTAAAAGGGGGTGTCGGGGGGAGGATGCTGGCACATGCTACGACTCGGCTGAACTGGCAAATCCACAGACAGGAAGTGGACAGTGGCTGCCAGGGGCTGGGGGAGGGGAGATGGGGGTGACCGCTCCAAGGGGAGGGGGTGTGCTTCTAGAGATGACACGTTCAAAACGAGAGGAGGTGACTGCACAGCACTGCGCACGCGCTAAATGCTTTAAGACGGTTCACTGCACGTTACGTGGATTTTACCGCAGTTGAAAGAAACAAACACGATGACCGCCCTCCCTCACGAGAGCCCCCGCCAGAAAGTCTTAGAAAACGAAAGCCCCAGAGTGGGGTGAGCTCGGGGTGTCATTCAGGATCCAGTCAGTCCAGACAGAAAGGTCTGAAAAAGCTTCTGGAAGCTCCAGGTTTGAAGACGCCACAGTGGCCCTGGGCAGTCGGGGAATGAGTCTCTCTGGGGAGGTGGGAGGCCCTGCCTGGCCATCGGTCCCAAGCGCCACCCCTTTGGGCAGTAGGCTTCCTGTTTGCGACCCAGGAACGGGCTTCACATCAGAACCCCAGGACGCCACCCCAGACCAGCTAGGTCGGAGTCCTGGGGGGGCGGGCCAGCAGTCAGGATTTGTGCCGAGCGTCTGAGGTCATCTGGTGTGGCCGCTGGAACAGACAGACCCCCCACCACACGACTGGGGCCCAGGGCTTCCCAACGCGGCACCCCTGACATTTGGGGCTGGGCGATTCTTTCTTGGGGGCGGTTGGGGCTGTCCTGTCACTGTAGGGTCTGGCCGTACCTCGTCTCCACTCACTAGATGCCACAAGCACCCCGCCCCCCGCCCTTGGCTGCAATGACGATGCCTCGACACCGCCGAACGTCCCCCGGGGTGAAACCTGCCTCCTCCCCGCCATGGTGCCTACCTGGATGACGAAGGCGTGCAGGCCGTGGCACTGGCCCCCCGGCATGTGCAGCTGAGCGAACAGCACGGCGTGCGTAGCCGTCTTGCCCAGGTTCCCAACCCAAAACTTGGCAGCCTCGAAATCCGGGGAATTTATGATGAATTCCTGCACAGGGAAAAGGCAGCGATCGCAGGACGTTCTTCCTGTTTTGACGCGCTCCACGTTCTTTGTTCAAAACCCTTGAGGCGAGAGCAGGAACTGACCTAATGACCCACCTACTGGGAGCCCCTCCTGCCCCCCGCACCCCGCAGCCCTGCTGGAAGCAGAGCGTGTTCCTGGCTCCCGTGACTTGAAGCGGAACCTTCCGGTGGAGGACGATGACCGAAACGTCGCACAATAAAATACACACAAGGCCTCCTGGAAGCTGGCCACGCCCCCCCGCGTGTCACCTCCCCGACCACCCCTGTGAGGTGGACTTCCGCCAGCCCCATTCTGCTGTGGCCCTGTTCCCCATCGACCCCGAATGAACGCGATTTCCGGGGGTGACAGGTTTGCCTCTCGAGGCCTGCGTCTCCGGGACGCCCGCTTCCCAGCGCCTGTGTCACGTTTCGCTCGTGACGACACCATGCGTCACGTGCTCGGAGCCCAGAGGGCCACGGGAAGGGGGCGCCTACCTCGGTGCTGGGGTCGTAGTGAGCGGTCGTCCGGATGGCCTTGGTGTTGCTCCCGTGACTGATCTCGGTCAGAGCAAAACATCCAAAAATCTAACAGGGAAGCACGAAACGACGTCAGGCGAGAAAGCTCTTCCTCCGTCCTAGAGGGACCCGCTGGCCCTGCCCCGTGGGCTGGCAGCCTGCAGGCGCGGCTTAGAGCCCCAGCCTCCTCTTGTCTGGCCAACAATGACAGCACCGCGTCACCCCACCGGGCTGAACGCCATGCCGCTCGGCCTGCAAGGGCAGCAGGTCGGACAGGCTGGGCTGTCAGTGGCCTCACCAAGTCAGCATGGTGGCCAGACTGCTCCCAGGCAGAGGACGGGAACGAAGGCCTCAGCTAAATTCATGCAGTGCCAGGAATTTGGCAGACACAGGTCTGTCAGGATCAGCACTCGCTTCTCAGTGAGAAGCCTAAGGACACCATGAAGTAGGTAAGCATCACCCCTTGGGGACCCGTCTGCAGGCTGCCCCTTCTACAAGCCCCTCAGGACAACAGGCAAGAGACAGTGGGCTCGCGAGTCACCATGGCCCTAAACTTACCTCCAGATTGAAAACCTTCTGAATGTATTTGAAGTGCCTTTCGGAACCGGAGCTGTAAATCGCGAATGCGAAAACCTGAAAATACAATGTCACCACGTAAGCAGGTGGGGTGAATGAGTGTCGCTGCTCTGGGATGCCACAGGTGACGTGCTCTTCAACATCCACCCCCCGCTGGGCACCACCGCACCATTTCGGAGACGGGAAGGGAAGGGTGCAGCCCTGAGAAGCTAATGACACGAGCGTCCAAGCCCAGGGACACGGCTGCCTTGAGTTTGCGGGAGTGGGGCAGCTGGGTCCCTGTCCCAAGCGGCTTATGTAAGTTCGACAGAATCAGCTCGGACTTCAAATGCCCGAAAGACATCCTGAGGGTCTTCGAAGAGCAGGGGGACAGGAGAGGAGGGAGGGAGGGCGCATCGGGGCAAAGTGAGCCCCCCTTTCCATCAGACGACAAAGGGACGGGCCACAGGTTTGGCTGAGGCCACCTCCTCCAAGTTCGCCTCCACCCGCGTGTCAGAGACGGGAGGGAACTCCGGCCTCTGCTTCGGCCGCTTCTCCTTTTCTCCCGCCCCTGTGTCTCTGTCTCTCGCTGTTTCTCTCTCTCTCTCTCTGACTTCCACAAGCACTACATTGATCAAGGACTCGCGTGTGCCAATGTGCACATACGAGTGAACAAAACTGGCCTTCTCACTAAAAACCACAAGATCTGCTTTTGTTTCCTACACGATTTTTAGAAATCTCCTTAAACGAACATTTCCCCAAATGCACATGACTCCCCAGACAACTTCAAAAGCAAGCAAACACCAACCGCCACCAAACCGAGCTCTGGATTTGGCGTCCTTCACCCCGCCGGCCCTGGCCCAGAGCGGCCTGGAGGCGTCAGGGGGAGCGTGGACGCTGGCGTTTCTCCTCTGTCCCGTGCCACCCACTTACCACTGTGTGCAGGAAGAGCTTGATAGCCAGGGACCAGTCATACATGCCCAGACAGCTTATCAGTGCCAGGGCCTTGAGGGGGCTCTCGAGTAGCTCGGCCACACGCAGGAAGTCATGCTCGAGGACCCGCTTGAGACGCAGGAAGTTCAGTTCCCGGTACTTCTCCATGGGGAGGTTGCCTTCCCGGGGCGGGGCAAAGAGGGGGTCGTTCTCCAAAGCCGAGAAGATGGTTTTCTGGAAATGCAGGAGACAGGGAACGGCCGATTTGGGGGCCCAGCACGGAACCCCAGTACGCTCTTACTCAGACCAGTTTTCTCAAGGCCGCTGGCTACACCGAACGCACAGTCTAAGCCAGAAACCCAGGAAGGAGGTGACAGTCCTGGGTTGAAAGCAGAGGGGCCTGGGGCTTCGGAAGCTTCGACAGTCTGTGCTCATTCCCGGATTCCCAGGCAATTCCCAGAGGCTTCACCATCCTAGGATGCAGAGAGCAGACAGGCCTGCATTGGGCCCAGAACCAGCCACCCCTTAGAGAGGCCGTGACGAGGCCCAGGGAGGCCGTGGGGTGCCAAGGGCACGAAGCTCCATCTTTGCCCATGAACGGGGACGCCTAGCAGACCCCGCTGTGGGTCAGCCCGGCCGACGCCGCACGGCCTGGCCTGGCCTCACCTTCAGACGCAGCACGTCCTCGCCATCCCAAAACAGTGCCAGCTCCTTCCAGCTGAAGGACGCGCGGGCGCGGAAGGCATGCAGGGGGCCCCGGGGGACATCTGGGAACAGTGCATCCGTGCCTCCTTCCAAAGGGGGAGCCATCGCTGATGTCGACCTGCACCGAACACACAACCCGAGTCGACGCATCTCAGTCTCTCTGCTCACACTGTCCGCCAACCACTGTGTAGGTGCCGCGCGTTCCAAGTAAGAATAACTCCAAAGGGTCAGCAAAAGAGAATGGCGTTTAGAGCTAGCGCCCACTTCCCCCAAGCAGAAGGCGACGGAGAACTGGTTTTCACCCCTGAGCAGAGATGAGGGGGCTGATGAGAGCAAAGGGCCCTGGGCCAGGGAAGTGCCAAGTCGACAGGTCGTGGCCTCCAGGCAGGGAGGGCGCCCAGGCCCACACGTGCAGACCAGACCCACGTGCTCGCCTGCCGGTCTGCTGCGTGCCCCTGCCCTCCTGCTCCGGAAGGCCTCGGACCTTGGACACTCAACACTGAACTCGCCTCGCCCCCGACCCAGCCTGTCCTCCCGTAGGCCAGTTCCACCTGGAGCCACACACCTGGGTGTCATCCTGGAGGTCCCCTCCCCCTCATGCCCCATGAGCAATTAGTTACCAAGCCCCCCACTGCACCTCTCCAGTGCCTGCTGCACCCTCTCATTTCTCTCTGCTCCTACCGAGTCTGTCTCTGAGCGTGGGTGGGTGTGCCTGCGACCCCGAGTGTTCACCGACCTCATCTCCAGATGACAAAACCGGGGCCTGTTGGAGCGAACTCAGTTGCCCAAGGTCATACGGCTGTTACCTGGCACATCTGACCCCAAATCTCATGATCCTAAGCAGCAAGTCCCCCACGGCCCCATGCCACCCGAGGTCGCCAACGTCACTGCAAGACGGTGTAGCTCGTGCCAGGAAGGATTCTGAAGCCAGACCTCCCCGCGACAGACCCCAACATCGGGGTGACGAAGCCTGCTCAGCTGGCAAGTCAGTTGGCCCTCTGTGCCTTGGGAGTGGTGACGACGCGGGACCCTCGTCTAGTGTCTAGTGTGGCAGGCGCTCAATTAACACCGCTCCCGTCCACGCTGTTCCACTACCAGGTGGACGAGATGCGTAGAAACTTAACTCTCAGGAACACCGATAGGCTCACGGGGAAACTCTCCCTCCACGTCCGGTCCTTGGGCTTGAAGTCGCAGAACTTATGCGCGCCCCTAAGTGAGGACCTACTGTGCCCGGTGTCTACACCGCCGCCACTGACAGGAGGCGCCGGGACCGCCACGGAACTGCGGCTCCCCTGTCATTGCCGCGGCGACAGTCGCCCTCTGCCAACTTTCCTCTCTGAGCAGAAATGACTGAAACGCGGCTCTGAGCTTTCTCGCTGGGTGGCAGCTGTCCCGTGCGTGACCTCCGGCGACAGCGTCCTCAACCCCAGTGTCCCGCAGCTCCACCTCCCGGCCGCCGGCCCTGGCCTGCCGTGCGCGCG